TGGATTGAAAATTTATCGACATTCATTGATTCACGTCAAGCAGCTATTGCAGCTAATCCTTCATTTTTATAAATTTAGAACCTTTCGTTTTTGTTTTACCTTCAAATTTGAGAGCATTTTCTTCACTTTTTTCAAAATTTGGTGTTCCCCACAATGTAACAACTGAGCAGATTCTTTCTGTTCTTCAATGTGTCAGGGACAGTTCTGAGCTCAAAGAAGATGAAGCATGGTCAAAAGTTAGAGCTGTATTGGACTGGATAGCAGATAACACTAGTACAATGAGTAAAGCTGATATTCTAGTACCAGTCGAAAGTGATTTATCATATCCTCAGTTAATTCCTATTGATGATGTATCGTACACTGATAATGAAATGTTACGTGGCATTGCACGAACGTCAGATGAAAAGTATAATCTTATACATCCTAAAGTGTCTTACCTGTCTTCTAAACTGGGCGTTTCCCCACTCAGTGATCAGCTTAATATTACCGAAGATGTCTTTGAAGATGCTGGTCAACATAAACCACTAACAACACGACTCAGCAATATATTGAGAGAATATAAAGATGGCTTAACTATCATAAAGGAGATGATACAAAATGCTGATGATGCTGGAGCAACTGAAGTTAATATTTTACATGATACCCGCACACATCCAAGCCACAATCTAGTGTTAGAAGGAATGGCGGAGAGCCATGGGCCAGCATTGATAGTCCACAATAACAGCACATTCACAAAGGAAGACTTTGAAAACATCACAAAACTTGCTGGTGCTACAAAAGCTAACCAACCACTAAAGATTGGAAAATTTGGAGTTGGATTTTGTTCTGTGTACCACATCACTGATGTACCTTCTTTTGTTAGCGGAGAATGGCTTTACATATTTGATCCTACGTTGAAACATTTAAAAGGTGTGGTGCAAAATGAGAGCAGGCCTGGCAAAAAACTAAAGTTTCAATCAACATTTCTTGCCAAATCACAGCAATTAGCTCCATACCAGGGCTTGTTTGATTTTGATTCTTCATCATCTTACAATGGTACAATATTTAGGCTACCATTTAGAACACATTCTAGTCAGATTTCTTCCACTATTTACAATAATCATCTCATTCACATGATTAAAAAGGATTTAGAGTCAAATGGTTCTAAATTATTGCTTTTCTTACAGAATGTTAAGCGCATCACATTTAGCTCACGACGAGAAGGTAAGCCAATCATTGAAGAGCTGTCTATTGAGTGCAGTAATTTTGACACTGAGAATGTCAAAGTATGTGTTACACAATCAAATGCTACATCTACTGAGCATTGGCTGCTATCAAATCAAGAGCAACGGTTGAAATCACAAGATGGTGCCTATAAGCAAGCAGTTGCATCTGTAGCTTGCAAGTTAGTTAAAAAACAATTTTCGTTTTTGTGTGAAGCAATAGAAGGGAATGCATTTTGCTTTCTACCATTATCAGTTCCTGCTACTGGCTTACCTGTGCATGTTACTGCTAACTTTGCTGTAATGAGTAACAGAAGTGGCATATGGACAGGAGCATCATCTGCAATGGCATCAGATGAAAGGGAATACTGGAATCAGCAACTAATGACAATAGTCATACCTGAAGCATATTGCAAATTGTTAAAAAGTTTGCAAGCAATGCACTGCTCAGGAAGGCTTTTATCTTATGAGTTTCACATGCTATGGCCACTGGCTTCCAACCTTCAGATGAGGTTTCCATGGGAAAGCTTAGTATCTTCATTGTATCCTTTGATATCACAAGAAGAATTATTTTTTTCGTCTTCAATTTGTCAATGGTTACAAATAGCCCAGTCCTTTTTTCTTCCTTCTACATTATTTAAAGTTACATGTAGTAGTTCTACTGACATCATTGAAGCAGTAAAAATATTGAAGTTACCAGTAGTGTTCTTACCTCTTTCCCATAGTAGCCAACTACAAAAATTTGTTATTGTTGATATTTTAACTGAAGACAAATTTGCACAATTATTTCTGCAAAATATAGATTCATTTTCTAATAACACTAAGACTAGAAATGAAATTCTTTCAATGATGCTATCAGCTATTGGTTCAGCAATTACCTCTAAAGAACACAAATTATTAAAAAGTCTACTTCAAAAGTATCCCTGCATACCTACTTCTCCTAAAGGATTTCAATTAAAACGAGCATCTGAACTTGTGGATTCATATGAGTTCCGTGACATGTTTGATCCTGAAGATGCCATGTTTCCTGAAGATACTCTTTATCAATCTGCTGCAGTAAAGGAAGGAATTTCAAGACTTGGCCTGATGTCACCTTATAATGTATGCTGGGATGTAATTATTAAAAGTGCTAAGACAGTTGAGTCATTATTTGTTAAGGATAAAATAAAAGCATTAATGAGAGTCAAAGAAATTATTGGCTGCATCCAAGAAAAGGCAGAACATGCACGTCGAGAGCATGTGCAAATTGATCCAGCACCTCCTGAGCTATGTCAAACTCACTTTCTACCTGTTCTTCATAAACCTGACAAATATGTTTTACCATGGAAAGGTGATGGTCATGTTTTATTACCACCTTGTCAAGTAATATCAGTTGATAGTCGCAGCTTGAAAAAAGCTGGTATTTTAATAGGCTCTCAAAAAGCAATAGTTAATACAAAGACTACTGATTCAGGAGGGTGCGATTCAATTCCTCATCAAGCATTAAAGTTAATGAATATTCCATCACAAGCTTCATTTGATGAAGTACATAATCAATTTGTCACATTGATTAATACATTTAACATATCAATGTGTGATGATCATGAAGCAATACAATTAATTGAAGAAATATGTCAAAATGTTTATGAGCATTTTGAAGCCTCATTGAAAGAGTCACCCAAAATCTCACGAAAACTAAGTAAACATCAAAATCAAGATGATAATGAGCATAAAAAAAATTTAGCCCTATATTATAACAAGCCATTCATATGGACTGGGAGAGGCTTTGTTTGTCCTTGTGACGTATCAATTAATTGGAAGCAACTGGTGGGCCCATGTCTATATAAGCTTCCTGGCATGTTATCACAGCACAAAAACTTGGTAAATTGTTTACAGGTAAAGGAGAGTTTTAGTGTTGAAAAACTACTGGGAACATTCTCTCAAATGTATTCACGTTTTAGCCCTACACACAGACTTCCACAAGAATACCATGAAACTGCTAAAAACATTATCCAAGATTTGAATGCAAAAGATTTTCAGGAACTATCTCCCATGAAGGAAGAGGCTATTCTTCTTGATGCCAATTATATTCTTAGACCAACAAATCAACTAGTTTTCAATGATGCTGCATGGTTGCCTCCTGATAATGATAGTAACTATGTTATATCACTTCTCATCAGAAAAGTAGCACTGGCTCTTGGAGTACAACCAACAAGCAGTAAATTCCTTGACAAATACACTTCAGCTATGCAAAGTTTTAGTGGAGCACCATTTGGTCAACGCGAAGAGCTCACCCAGAGAATTAAAAATATTCTTCGAGATTATCCACTTGATGTTACATTCCTCAAAGAACTCCTACAGAATGCTGATGATGCCAAGGCTAGTAAAATGTATGTAATACTTGATAAGAGAGAACACAGGAAAGAGAGATTACCTTCAGAGAATTGGGCAGAACTACAAGGACCTGCATTACTTGTATGGAATGATAAAGAGTTCACTGAAAAAGATTTAAATGAAATTCAAAAGCTTGGTCTTGGTTCTAAGCGTGATGATGAAGAGTCAATTGGTCAGTTTGGCATTGGTTTTAATGTGGTCTATCATGTAACTGACTGTCCTAGTTTCATAACAAGGGGGGACACACTCTGTGTGTTTGATCCACACTGTAGATATGTTCATGGAGC